AACAAAACACTTATTTTGCCCTAGGTTCATTTCTACGATCTTCAGTAATTGTCCAGAGTTCTGAGCGGTGTAAAAGTGTTGACCACGAATAACATGAAACATTTCCTATTGTGGTAGTCCTTGAGACGTTTCTCTTCTTCAGGATTGGACTCATTATATTGAAAACTGTCTTTAGCTATTGAAGTTCTTAATTCTTTTTCTTTGGTGCATTACAATTTACCATCAGATGTATACATATCTATGAATTCAAAACTGAACGTGTTTGAACTTTTCACCTTTGCTTATGAGATTGCAAATATGAGTTACTGCTTTATTACATGTCATAATGCATTGTTTTATTTATATCTAAAATCAACCCCTCATTGGTGAAATAACCATTTTGAATTTCTAAAGCCTCCTATCTGCGATACCTTTCCTTGAAATGAGACCCAAGAAAGGAATTAACACTTCCGTGATATATCCATGATAGATCGGTTTCAGAATCTGTTATGCTTTATGTTACACCGTATCACTATTTTTAATGTAGGCGTTTTTACACATTCCCACAATTTAGACTATTAGGACGCGAGGTTCCGACCCTGCCTGTCAGGGTCACACGGGGGATAAGAGACACATCCCAGCAGAGAGGCCAAGATACTCGACACAAATGTTCTTCCCATTTGGGAATCAAACTCGGGTCTCCCGCGTGTGACAGTAACGCACGTACCTGCTATATCAAAAACGCAGGTACCATTATCAGTAATGTCCTGAAAGATATAACTTGGTGAAGATGCTGTGGTACTTCTGAACCTTAAGTACATGTATTTTGTCACTTTTAGGTTCTCAACTTAATTGTATTTATGATGGAGTAACTGTAACCTTTATACGTCCTTATCAACAACATCTAGAGATCTGGTAGTTTGGGATATTCAAAGAGCAGATGTTGGACTGTTTCGTAGACGTTATCGCAAAGCAAGCATACTGGTGGTTTTTCTGTTTTAATTCTGTTTTGGTGGTAGTTTAGACCTAGATTATTTAAAAAGATAGCCTGTTTCGACGCTGCTTGTCAAAGTCGGCCCTGGCTGAATAGGACTAGATGAAATGACTTCCTCTCGCGGGAAATGAACTCGCAACTTTTGGGCACAAAAACTTCTTTTAGTTTAAGTTTTACTAAGCGTTTTACGGCACTTGCAACACAATCAAGTCGCATAAGTGTCGAAGATTAGAGGTGTCACTAGATTGCATCATGCACATAGAAAAAGGAGGAAAGATAAAGGCGATACAAATCTGATACGAAAGAAAGAGCAAACCAAACCAGAGCATCCACCAACCAACCACGCACAAAAGTGATGAGCCTAGCCATTGCATCACAGACACCGTGACAAAAACGCGTAACATTTTAAAATAATTGTGGATGCTTTTACGTTTCCATCGACACAAATTAGATCATTCATGAGGCGGGTTTGTTGGGCCCCTCCTGTCGGGACCAACCCGGGCTGGAAGGGATACAATATCCCAGCAGAAAGACCGAGACACTCTATATAAATCTTTCCCACTCGGGAATCGAGTTTGGGTCCCCTGCGAGAGTCAATGAAACGCCTGACTGCAACACCACAGACGCCGGTACAAACACATGTAACAAACATGCAATTCACAGCATTCAACAACAGGGGTGAAAAGAAAAAAAACACACCTCAAACAATACATATTGTGAAAGGAAACACAATCGATCCCGTTGGAAGGCTGTGGATTTTAATAATTTACGAACAAAGAATCCGCTGCTCAGCAATGGCAAACAATCAATTTCAGCTGGGGAAAAAAGTCAATATCTCGTGTGAAGAAAAAAACAACAACCAAAAACGTAAAAGAAAAGAAAAAACCCAAAACAAAACAAAAATCAATCAAGCAAATGTCATAGCAACATTAGACATCAACATCTGTTGCCATTCATATCTAGAAATACATAGATAACTTTTGAAAAGGACATTTCAGGTCGTCCAAAATATACATAGAAACAGAATCGGAACTTGATAGACAAAAATACACGTTGTATGAGAAGTTTTTATTTGAGGAAAAAAATGAACAAAGTAAAGGAAATGATAGAGGAATTTGTTACTTTTTCCCACTTGACCAGACGGGGAGGCACTTGAATTGAACTAAACAAATATTTTAAGGCAACGCATCGATAGAAACAATACTGCACGGTAGGTTTGAATAACAGAGACGCCAATCAACGTTTTTTAAAAGTCATTTTATATATTCTATTCATCTTAGGCCCTCTGTCGATGCAGTTTAGACCATTTAGGAGGCAGGCTTTAGCCTTGCCTGTCAGGGCCAGCCCGGGCACAATAGACCAGCAGAAAGACCAAGAAACTCAATAAAAATTCTCTCAACTCGAGAATCCAACTCGGGTTTTCTGCGTGCGACAGCCAAGCATCTAGTCACGGCACCACAGACGTCTGTTAATATCATTTGCGTGAGTTGCTTTTGAGTTGCAGTTTCCCTTCAAGCCAGCCCGAAAATGGCAATGATGGATATGAAACAGATTCGGATGCAGTAACGCGGAAATAATAACGAAAAAGAAAAAAGAAGTCGTCGAAGTGGAAAGATCGAGGACTTCCGCTGCCCAGAGACCAGTATTTATTTGAACTACGGAAAGTCACATCACGAAAACAAAACTGTGTGCGTCCATGAAGAAGTAGCGAGAGACATGATGGTGATGGCATGCAGGATACGCGTACAGAGAGGGAGGGGTCTCCGGCCAATTCCATGCAATCATTTCTAGTAGTTTGCTCGAGTGCCTGGATTAAATAGAAGCGCATCGACTCAACAATGGCCATTCACTGATGGGGAGAAAGGAGGACTACAGCAAGAAATAACCGACCGGCAAGAAAGACGACCATCTCCAGAAAGCTCTTCCTCTATCAATTATAAAAGAATCCCGAACCTCTCTGATAGACGTGAGCGTACGTGACCGTTCCCACACCACAGAGTCAGTTTACCGAGGACCGGAAAGTCATTTAATCAGAGGTGTCGAGAGAGAGAGAGAGAGAGAGAGAGAGAGAGAGAGAGAGAGAGA